ATTAAGCCACAGACCATATTAACAATTTTCAAGTCAGCTTCAAAAGTAGCATCATTCTCTAAATGATCATTCATATTCAATTTTTTACAAATAAGATAAATATTTGTGTAATTCTTTTGAACATCAGGAACTATGCAAATGATAAAGAGTTTTTTAACACCACCTTCAAAACTTTTTATTATAATTTTTCTTCTTCTTGAATTCTCGTACATCTAAAACAACTAACACATTTCTAAATAAGAGATACATGCAAAATTTCAAATATTCACTGCCTCCATCAATACCAAATTTTATATACACTTCATTAGAATCACATCGTTTGATCACAAGATCGATAAAACCTTGTAAGTTTTTGCAAATCATGGCTTTCCCTGTTGCATCAGTTTTGACATTCTGCTTTTCTGTCGCAAAATTTAGATCACGTATGTCAAAAAATCCACTAAACAGATGAATTTTTTCGTTAATTTTTTTTTTAATTTCTTTTCAATATTTATCGAGCCATTGCTTTCCGAACCAATTGCAGCTGTCATTCCTTATAACTTTCTATCACTCAAATTCAAGTTACTTTTAATTTTCTCTAAAGTATCTGACAGTGACATACATCACTATAGTGAGTTTAACTAGTTTCTTTTAAGTTCTTGCATGATTATTACTTTTAAAATGTTTAAAATTCCAGAATGTTCGTCCACGTAACCGAATTAAAGACGTTCTGGCTAATGCCACAGGCAAACCGATTAGCATATGTCTTCCTACACTCCGCCACGTCTAGAAAACTTTGATCATGATGTCTGAAACCCCAAATACGATGTACCGGTGATCGCGTGCATTGTAGTTATCGATCATTTTCCATCTCTCTAACCGCTCTGATTAACGTCGATTTTCATTCTTGAATTACTACTGTTAGATCCAGCATCGCAGCCATTTCTAGCAGTAGCCTCTGCTGCTTGTCTTTGTGTGGCGAGGGATTTCGGGGGCTTTAACCGCGCTACCGAAGTTCTTCCGCCACAAGGCCTGCTGTCTCCTTATCCCCGATTATTTAGGGCGCCAGACCGCCGTTTGACTAGGGCGATCGTCGGGGATAGGGCCTAATGGGATCGCGTATACCAGTTTGCTTTTACAGCGACTGGGCGGTGTGCAAACGGGTGAGTACTCGCGATCTCCTCTGCTTCAGGCCTCGGTATCCAACAAGTCGTTTCCTATTCGTCTCCTCGCTTATGATATGCCGGCAACTCAGATGATGACTCCTTATTTCAGGTCGAAAGTCCGTTCGAATTCGTGCGTATGTTACCTATCGTGGAATCCGAAAATATAGCGAATTAGCGTTACCCGATTATAACCGCTCGCGGCTGAAAATCATCAGAATGCAAGTGAGACAGGGTAACAAAAGTAAATTTATTATAAAAAAAAACAATCAATCACTTTTATTGACTTATTTATTAAATTAGAAGCAAATGGTCAGATTGATTAGAGTCAATATGACTCTGCCTAATTATGAAATAGCAAGGACATGAAATAATCGAAATATTAATTCTTGCGGTCGGTCTTTGATTGACAAAAATGATGGACTGATCAGCGCAAATAATTAAATCACGAATCGTAATTCAGCTATCTCTAATATTCGCAATAAATTATTATACGGGCGAGGGGTCAACGCGAATAATTGAATCGTGAGTCTTAATTCGTCTACTTTCAATATTCGCAATAGAGTGTTAATTTGGCGAAAGGTCAGTGCAAATATCTTAAATCACAAGTTTCCTTTGTCTGATTCTAACACTCACGTTCGATTCTGATAAATGGCGGACAGGCCAGCGCGATTAATAGGATCAATAATTTTATTCGGCTAATTCTACGTTCGCAATAAATACTATATTGGCGAAAGGTCAGCGCGAATAAATTAATCACTGCTTTTAATCCGTATGATCCTATCACTTACGTTCGATTCTACGAAATGGCGGAAAGGTCAGCACGATTCAATAGGCACCGGCATCGACGGATCTACGCGTCGCGACGACCTACCGCACCGAAAAATCCACTCCCGCACTCTACGATTAATACAAATGAGTGGCACTTTGCCTACTTACGATTTTCCTTGCTGAGATTCGGCGAACGAAATTAGCGTGAACAGACGGTGTCTAACGCAATTAGTCCTGCGTGACGAGATTATCTGGCTCAATCACTCCTTCTAGCTAGAAGACCAGTGGCAAAATGGACGAGAATCGGCTTTTCGCGGTCAAAGATAAGATCGCTTTTCTTCTCCTCTTTCCGAGAAGAAATGTTATTATTGGTCGGTATGCTAATTCGGATATCGGTAGCGCCCTCCGAATACTTTATCACTGGTCCGTATGTAAATTAGAAGAATACAGCGCCCTCCTTATCTCTCCTACTTTCGTCGTTATTTACCCTCTCTCACCCCCCCCCCCCACTAAGGTAGCTATCATTAATTGATGGGAAAGATCTACCCCTACTATTATCTATTTTTCTATCCGAACTGAAATCAAATTCTAATTCGCTTATTGGTCGTGACGTCACTAGCGAATTTCGTCAGAGGTTCGAATTCTGTCGATTAATTTATTGATTAAATTTAACGGGGTAGTTGTCGCTGGCTATTATAATAGGGGGTGTGTCGGTCGCATGCGAATTTCTTTTTTTTTTTTATAATTCGGTATTTATTCCATGTTCATTTTCTAATTATAATTTTAATTTTAATTCGTTGTGAATATATATATAATATACGTCGTTTCAATTGTGGCGCCCCCATCTTCGCAGTTAAATATAATTCTATTCATCATTTCATATAATCTGTCTCGCTCGCTCTTGTTTAGTCTATTTCGCACGCTCTGTCTCGCTCGGTCGCTCTCAGTCTGTCTCGCTTGCTCGCTCGCTCTGTTTAGTCTATTTCGTTCTCTCTGTCTCGCTCGTTCTGTCTCAGTCTGTCTCGCTCGCTCATGCTCGGTTCATCTCGGCGCTTCAAAATGGCCGCTCGGTCTCTCGCGTGTACGCCTCGTGTTCCCGTATCGGTTGTTGGAGCGCCTCCTGAGGCGCTCCCGTGTCGGTTAAGTGACGTTTTCCCGGGTGTTTGTGTGTGGTTACTGTTGTGATTGTGTGTGGCTCTCAGGATGTCGCCGATGGTGTTCGGCAGCCCGATACAGTTGATTACCGGCTGCTACTTCATCGGCGATTTTCTGCTCGCCCCAGGGGTGTCAGTGCTTTGTGAGTGTTGGTCTTGGTGCCTGGGAGTGTAACGGATCTGCATGTATCATCAACATGCATTTCCATTGCATTTCCCAGTGAAGTTTCCCGTTTTTCTTTCGCCGGTCGGCAACACGTGGTCGGGAGTGAGTGTGTGCGTGCGCTCTCTTATTTCGTGGTGCGCTCCTTTTTTTGTCTTTTGAGTGTCCGTCGGATCGCGTTTGTCGAGTTTGTTTCGCCAATATCTCCGGTGTGGTTGTTCGGGCATGAAAATGGGTAATCGTTTTTTTATATGGCGCGTTTGTTTTTATTTTGTGAAACTGGTTACGGGGCGGTAAGGGACGGGAATGGCTTTCCTGAGGTGTTACAAATAATGCAGCGCTCAGGAAAGTCCTTGTAATGTACCGCATTACAGAACCCCCCACTAAGCCGGTACACTACCACGTGTACCGCTAGTTCCCTTTTGTTTGCCGCCGCGTTCTCAGTTCTCGTCAGTTATACAGAAATCTTACCTGATGAGGTTTTCCCCCTTGGTTCCGTGATCTGTTTTGGTCAGAGTCCGGCACTTGCTTGGTCTGCTTGGCTGCATCCTCCCTTCTCCTTTGGTCCATAAAGTCTATTTGCTGGGTGGGTAAGGATTGGTCAGGGGAGGTTGGTAATTCAATTAAGACGCAGGTTAAGCCAATCAGTTTAAGCCAGGGCTTGGCTCTGGCATTTATTGCGGTCAACAGAAAAGAAAAACAAAAAAAGGAAAGAAAGCAAAAGAAAACAAAGAAGAAAAACAACAACAAAATTGGTGGCTCGCTGGTGGGCTACTGATATCCACGCCTGCGGTAGCGATTGCGCCTCTCCATTTCTTCCATCTTTTGGAGGGCACGCTGGAGTTGTTGGAGCTCCCTCAGGCGCAGGTCCACGTCGACCTCATCATCGGAGGTCCTATGGTTATGGGACCTCCGAAGCAGCTCCCTCGCCCGCTCCTTTACCGATGGTCTAGGGCTGAAGCGGGGGTTCTGGTGCGGGGTATAGCCCCGATGTCAGCCGTCGGCCTCTCCCTCTCCGACCTTTCCCGGTGTTGAGCTCGGCCTCGGGTTGCCTCCAGGTAAGACGGTGGAGGGTCCTCCGTCTCCCGAGGGTACGAGCTCAGCTGGGCTGCCTGATCTTGGCGGCGGAGCTCGTCTGCTGGGTTGTGGTCCCAACCGGACCCGGAAGAAGTGGACGCTGGTCTGTCCACCTCATCCCAGCCGCTCCGGCGGCTAGTGGTCGGTCGAGGTCTCAGTGGAGATATGTTGTTCCCCACCGGGTTGTTTAAACCCGAGGGGCCGTGTCGGCGGTGGTATGCCTCGGCACATCTCGGGCAGTTGAATACCTCGACCCGCCGCCGACCACAATTCCCGCAGAACTGTCCCTCTTTGGGACGGGGGCAATTCCCGAAATTGTAGTCGGTTTGCCAGCAGTTGAAGCATGCTCGGAGGGGGGGGGGGGTCAACCGTCGGAACGGTCGGGATCTCCCTCAGTTGCCCGAACCTAGCTCCGGTCCGGTGAGGGAGTCGACCCCAGGATGGTATCCTAGCCGCAGCAGCTGATCGTATTGCTGGTCGGAGGTCCAGGTAGGTCGTCTTCTGACCCCTTGGAGGAGGGATATCCCGCACCTACCAGGTCGTCCAGCTGCAGGTGGCGCCGCGGTTTGTATTTGCGACGCTTGCCGCTGGCCGTCCGGTAGTGCAGGCCCTGGACCTCTGGACGGTCAACAGGATCTATTCTGGGTGTTGTTATTGGCCGGTTGGTGGTGGTCCAGTCAATTGGAGTCGAGGTCACAGGTAATCAGCCTGGATGACCTCGGCTCCTTGTGGCCGACGGCTGGGCGGTGGTGGCGGATGGTGGTGTGATGGCGGCGGTGGTCGATGGTCGATCGGTGGTGGAGGTCGACTGGGCAGTGGTCGATGGTCGGTCGGTGGTGGAGGTTGGCTGGGCGGTGGTGGTGGTTGGTGGTCTGACGGACGACTGGGCGGTGGTGGTGGAGATGGTGGAGGCGAACGATTTTGCTGTCCCTGGGCGACGGAGTATGGGGGGCGGAGTTGATGGTCCAGCTGGTTAGGGGTTGATGGTCTATCTGGTTAGAGGTTGATGGTCCAGCTGGTTGGGGGTTGATGGTCTCCCCCTTCCCAGCTAGTACCGACTCCGCGCCCCTGTCCAGGTAGTCCTCTAGCTCTTTCTCCGCTTGCCCGTCCAGGGACAGCTGGGAACCTTTTGAGGTGTCCGAACAATGGGATTTGGAGGTCCCACGTTCGGACAGAGTTTCAGCTGTCCTGCCGTCCATCTGGTCAGCCGTTGCATTCATCTCCTCCCGGATGGCACGGACTACCTCCATTCGCCGGCGTTCCTCACGCCTCCAGTCCGCTTCAGGAATGCGGGTCTGGAACGTGAGGGCCCAGCGATGGAGGCGGTCTCGTTCTTGGCCCACCGGGAGGGGTTGTGGTGGCTCCTCTTCCGCCACTTCCATGGCCTCCAGGCGAGCCTTCTCCTGCTCAATTTCCTCCACCATATCCTGGATATACCAGACTGGCGAATCTTCTGTCGGGGGGGGGGGGGCTCGATGATGGGCTGAGCCCCTACCCTCTCCTGGTACCCAGGCATGGTGGTAAGTGCCTGCAGGCCAAGGCTCTCCTCGTGGCGGTCGGGTTCCGGGGCCCGAGCCGGTCTGGTCTCCCGCTTCCTGATCCCCGTGATGGTCCTAGGGACTGTAGACAGCGGGATCTTCACCGTCAGGCTCAGACCCTTCTTCTTCGCGACGAGAATCCTTGGGGCCATGGTAGATCTGAAAATAAATCAGGTTAGTGCACAGGTCTTTAGGTCAGTGTCGGGACAGCACAGTGCATGCACTTATCTGCTGAGGGGTGTAGCTTAGGCAACGACTTTACCCCCCATTTAGCCTCGAGAGGCTAGCCTGTCCAGGCGTAGCACAGCACATCTGGAGGTCAATCACCAATGTTCGCGTAATTATTCCCCACGCCGCAACCGTGTTAGTACGCGATTTAAACCCCATGAGTCGGACAATAAGGGTATGGTCAGATTGGTCAGGTTATCTATGTTCTCTTCCTTTAGTTTGGTCTTTGTTCGATCTAAGGTCATAGTTATTTTTGTCAGGGTTCTTAAATGGTTTTAGTTGTTCAATGTGAACTTTACCAACTTTTTTCTTCGTCAGTGTCTCGATGGTAAATACTGTGTTTGAGAGTTTATCTAGTAATTGAGGGGTTGGGTGGAAAAACGGTATAAGTCGAGTTATACCGATTTTGAGATAACATGATAGAATGATCAAGTACTACCCATTACACATTATATCTTCACCCCATAACAAAAATCATAAATTTAGACCTATTAAATAAGAGACAAACTATGGAAAAACGGTATAACTCGACTTATACCGTTTTTCCAAGTACTCAACCCAACCCGGCGTGCATGAAGCAAAATTGTACACGTAACCGCATGTAGAGCTAGTATGTAATACTACATTCTTATATATTTTACAAAGGCATACTCACGCTTATAAATATACTCACTAATACACAATAAATAGAAAAAGAGAGAGGGGACGCGAGAGAAAGATAGTCCGATGAATGTAAAGAAACGCATTCTTAGCTCGCGCATGCCATATTCGTACATTTCACACAGTATAGTGTTTGTTCTCGACCGAAGCATGTGTGACATATAAATTCAATTAGTAAAACATAGTGGATATGGCGAGTGACAATAGTGAACTTGGTGACAGCAATCTTAGCATAAACTCAACAGACTACTTATCAAGTGAACAAGAAAGTGGAATAAAAAACAAAAATCGCGGAAAGAAAAGAAAATTGCTTACACAAAGTCATGCTGACAATAAAAGAAAGAGACGAAAAAATTCTGGAAAATCCTATGTCAATCGTAAAGGAAAGAAAGTTAGTATAATAAAGATTATTATAAACGTTTTATTTGCTTTTCTAGTTTCATAATTGAAAATGTATAATGTAGATGTGAAAAACAAATACAAGTAAATATATCAACACTGGTAAATAAATACTCATTACTACGCTTGTTCATTATTTTTCTATTACAGGTGCCAGGAAAAAAATTTGAAGTTATATTGAAATGTTGCTCTAAGGAATGTGCTACTAAAATAACAGCTGAGAATCAAAAACAACTTTTCGAATCATTTTGGTTGTTAGGTGAAAAAGAAAAACAAGATTTATTTTTATGGAACTCAATAGATAAAATACCTATAAAATTTAAAACTTCAAATGCAGTAAGAAAAAATAGAGAATGTATGTGGTCTTATAATATTGAATTATCTGGCGTGAGAATGCGCGTATGCAAAACTTTTCTGATGCGATGTTTTCAAATTACGAATAGACGTTTAACGTTCGTTACTAGTAGGAAAAAGGAATCAGTTGTAGATGTGAGTGATAAGCGAGGTAGAGCTAAAAATCCTAAAAAATTACCAGATAAAGTCCTTAAATTAGCTTTGAAACATTTAGCATTGATTCCGCACAAGCGATCTCATTATACCAAATCCCAACGATTTTACTTTGAAAATCCAAGTCTTACTGTCAATGATCTGTACCTAAGTTTTAAAGATTTCTTTTTGGCTCAAACAAACAGCGCTTTGAAAATGCAATATAATACTTATCATCATTGGTTTCGAGAGAATAGTCCGTACAGTTTCAAAGAACCGCACAGCGACACGTGTGATTATTGTACACAATGTATACAAAAATTGAAAGTTAACGCCAATGACTCATGTAAACAGGCTTTTCAAGAGCACACAAAGAATATTGAAGATTACCAAAACATGAAGAAAAATTTATTAGCAGCTTGTAAAAAAGATAGTTCATTATTGATTTTTGAATTTGATTATGGACAAAACTTAGCATTACCAAAATTAACTGTTACTTCCCAATTTTATAAGCGTTTATTGTGGATGTACGTTTTCAATATTCACTGTCATAATGATAAAACAAGTGCTTTTTATTGGTTTCTAGAGCATTATGCTGGAAAGTCTCCTGATTCAGTGGCGTCATTCGTGAATGATTTTCTACAAAAGTTTTTACCAAGCAAAACTGTGAAAAGAATTATTTTTTTCTCTGATTCTTGTGGAGGTCAGAACAAAAATCACTGTATGGTTCTTTTCTTCTCATGGCTTAGTCAATTATATGATGTACCTATAGAACATATTTTTCCTGTGCGTGGTCATTCTTACAACCAGTGTGATCGAAATTTTGGCTTATACGGTAAAATGAAAAAAAAAATTGAGGTAATTCCAACTGCGTTAGAATATGTAGATATACTTGAGAAATGTAGGCAAAAGCCTCAACCGTTTCTTGTGATTGAAGGTACAGATCTGATAAAAGGATGGCATGACACATTGAGTAAATATGCATATTCAAAGCCGTATGCTAAAAAACAAAAATTCAAAATTCAATCTTACAATCGACTATTGTATACTACCGATGGATCTATTGAAGTTACTCATAGCGATGATCAGTCAAAAAAAGAAACATTTTCTTTGTGGAATAGGGTTTTAGAAGTTTCTTGTATTCCGAGTAAACTATTGCCTATCTGCCCTGTTGGACTGACTGACGAAAAATTAAAAGATGTAAGATCATTAATGCCTTTTGTTGACTCAAAATCAAAGGCTTGGTTTGAAACTATTTTTGAAAAATCTATAAAAAAAGTAGGAAAAAGAGATGCTAATGAAAAAAATATGAAGACAGTGTCAAATATCGCAAAAGAAAAGGTTAAGAAAGCTACGAAGAAGACCACAAAGAAAGAAATCAAAACAGCGAAAAATATTGAAACAAAAATTTGTAAGATTAAGAATAAGGATAGAAAAACATCCAAAAAAGGCACTATAAAAGTCAAATAAATCAAACAATTACTGTAAACTATGTGTAATAAATTTTATGATAATAAATAGCTATAAACTCAAAAAATCGTAGTTGATCTTTGGAAAAACGGTATAACTCGAAAATTTCATTTTAATATATCTCGCTCATTTTACAATATTTTTTTAATTTGTTATATAGTACTTATGCACAATAGTTCACTCAACCCGAGAAAAAAATTAGATGAAATAAATAATCATTTATCATGGTTTGACAAGTTTTTCTCATTTTTCTCAAAATCACGTTTTTCGACTTATACCGTTTTTCCACCCAACCCCTCAATTTGAAAGGTCCTTCATATTTTTCGCTTAATTTGGTCGAGAATTTATTTGCTGCATTTGATAGGTGATGCGTTTTTATCAATACTAGGTCTCCGGTTTTATATTCGGTCAACTTTCTCCCAATATCGAATCGGTCAGCCATTTTCTCATGCTTTATCTCTAGGTTCCTTTCAACCAGTTCATATAGGTCTTTCAATCTTTTTAGCCTTTCTGTCCATTCCTCTAGTTTTAGTGTCAGTTCTAGTTCGGTTGTTTCTACTTTTCTCCGTAAACTTTTTATTAGTTTTGGTTGTCTGCCGTAATTCAGGAATGCTGGGGATCTTTGAGTGGCTGATTGTATTGCCGTGTTCATAGCGTGTCGGAACTCATTAATGTGTTTATCCCAATTCCTGTGGTCATTTTCAACGAACATTGCTATAATAGTTTTTATCGTTCTATTACTTCTTTCGACGTGGTTGGCTTGTGGATGATATGGTACTGTCGTGTTGTATCTGATGCCATATCCCTGTAACATGCCGTCTAAATGTTTATTGACGTATTCTTTCCCATTATCGGTCAGTAAGTAGTCGGGTGTTTCCCATCTGAATATGATGATTTCTTCTAATGCTCTCGCAATGGTTTTTCCGTCTGCAGAGCGTTCTGGTTCCATTTCTATCCAATGTGTGAAGAGGTCTTGGAAAACTAAGAGGTATTTATTTTGTGTTTTGCTTCGAGGAAATTCCATAGTGTCAACCGCTACTATTGCCCATGGTCGGTCTATTTTCCATCGTTTCATAAGGCCTTGTTGGCCTAATTGGCTGGTTTTATATCTTTGACATAGCGGACATCTTGTGACGAAGTTGTAAGTGTCAGTATACATTCCTCGCCAGTAATATTCGGTACTAATTCTCATATACGTTTTTTCTATACCTAGATGTCCCGCTACCGGGAGGCAGTGTGCATTTTTCATTATTTCCATTTGGTATTCGTCAGGTACTACTAGTTTCCATTCCATTTCTCCATTTGTTAACGGGTCCATAATCGGGTATGGTCTGTTATAATATAGCATGTCGTCTTCGATTTTCCAGTCAGGGTATTTGTCTGGTTTTTCTTTTACGTCTTTACGTTTTTTCAGGTATCAGTTGTCTTGTACTCTGCTGAAGGCTTCGATTTTGTTAGCCTCTTCGTCTATTCGTGACAGGGCATCAGGTATTTTATGCATCGTGCCTTTACGGTGTTTAAGGGTCACGCGTTCTTGCATCAGGTCGCATATCCATCTTCCTAATCTACCTTTTGGTTCTTTAATGTTAAATAGGTATATCAGCGCTGAGTGGTCAGTAATAACTGTATAGTCATATCCTTCAAGGTATGGTCTTAGTTTCTTGATGGCATATACTATTGACAATAATTCTTTCTCTGTTACCGAGTAATTTCTTTCTGGTCCGGTTAGTGTTCTGCTAATGTATGCTATTGGGGGTTCACCATTATCAAAGTTTTGAGTCAATACGGCACCAATTGCAAAATCGCTTGCGTCTGTCTGAACCGTGAATGGTCGGGCGAAGTTTGGTCTTGCCAATACTGGAGCGTCTGTTAATGCTCGTTTCAGCTTGTCAAATGCTTCTTGTTGGTC